CTCACACTGTACCTATTTATGAGGGTTATGCTATGCCTCATGCTATCAAGAGAATGGACTTGGCCGGTAGGGACTTGACTGAGTACATGATGACCATCCTCACTGGTCGTGGCTACACCTTCACTACTTCGGCCGAGCGGGAGATTGTCCGCGACATCAAGGAGAAGCTGTGCTATGTGGCCCTTGACTACGACGAGGAGATGAAGTCGGCTTCCAACAGTAGTGAGCTGGAGAAGACCTATGAGTTGCCTGATGGCAACATTATCACTCTCGGCAACGAGCGCTTCCGATGCCCAGAGGTCCTCTTCCAACCCGACTTGATGGGCAAGGAGGCTTGCGGTATTCACGAGACGTTATTCAATTCTATCATGAAATGCGACTTGGATATTCGCAAGGATCTTTACGCCAATGTGGTCCTCTCTGGTGGCACTACTATGTTTAGTGGTATTCGAGAACGGATGGGAAAGGAGTTGACTGCTCTCGCGCCCTCTACCATGAAGATAAAGGTTGTGGCTCCACCTGAGCGGAAGTACTCAGTGTGGATCGGAGGCTCTACGTTGGCGTCATTGTCGACCTTCCAGCAGATGTGGATTTCCAAGGAGGAGTATGATGAAGTTGGACCAACAATCGTCCATAGGAAATGCTTTTAAGTAGAGAGATAGAGTTTCCGTTGATCACTGTGCTTCTTGATGTATAATGCCTGTGAGCTATGGAGTTTTATGCGCCTCAAACCATTCTATCCGTTCCTTTATTAAAAGTCTCCGCGTTGCTATGATCTTTACGGTCGAGTCTGTCAATGAGCATTCGGGAAACTTTCAAGGTGTCTTCACGTGCGGGTTTTGATCTCATGTTCGGTGTTATGTATCACTGTACTCAGTCCTGAGAACAGGACATTACCGATGGATGGACTACTTTCCGAGCGTGTCTGTGATAGATGACAAGATTTCAGTTGTAAGTCAGATCTTAGCAGCTTTCCGAGCTGGGGCAGTTCTCGAGGCTTAGTGTAGAATGTCCCTTTCTGTGACGTTGAATTTTCCCCAACCTGTGTGCTATTAGGTCGTCCTTATTAAAGGTCTGTCGGAGCAG